TAGGCCGCCGGCTATGACTTGAAAAGTAGCTCAAAATTACATTTTTGTTGGACACATTTAAAGAATACAATTTGTTTGCTTGAAATGATTAAAAATATGATATAAAAGATAAGTAAACAAATTGGCCCCCATTTCGCTAACCAGTTTGGATAAAAACGGTCATTTTCAAAATGATGACGTCATATACAAGAAAGAAAACACAAATTCGAGAAATTTTGAAATTTGGCAGTGTAATTAGTTAAACACTCATTAGTACAGAAAAAAATTATATTACACAAAAAGCTGCAATGTTTTCATTGAAAAGTTATAGCTAATAGAACTTTTTAAAAATATGCTGAATAACCATTTTTTGAAATTTTTTGAATTGTGGTTCAGATGCAGGAGTTGTACCACTGTTTAGCACTGAAAAACAGCGGTGTCGAAGATAATACTATCAGGTGATTTTAATTATTTGTGTTTTTTAAATCTAATATGAATATATAAGTAATTAAGGTTCTAATTAACATTGTCAATATCAAGTCCTTCATCATTTTGATATGCATCTTCGTCATCAAAGTCAATGAAAAAATCATCCCTCTCAGACCTATCTTTGTTTTTGCAACTATCCGAACATTTACACAAATCAGTGCAATTCAGGTTTGCTTTCCTACATGAGCACCGATTAGACTTGCAGCCTGTTTTGCAGGAACAGTTCACGATCTCCAACACGCTATCCGGTGCCACTGGAAGAGTCATCCACTTGATGCATAACTGCCCATTCTCGATATACCAGCCATGTCCATCTGGACTTCCTGCAGTTATCATTTGCACCATACATCGACGTCTGACATAGCTTTCGTAGTTTGCACGATGTATATGCTGCACTAAGCTGTCTGAAGTGGGTGGCAGTGTTTCTTCAGTGCAATTTCCCATTCTAAAAAGGTTATGTCGAGCATTATCCACATCGATCTCATTTTCTTGTCCGTATAAGTGACAAACAAACTTTTGTAGATACGACATTGTGCCCTGGTCAACTGTCATTTGTTTGCCCAGATCTTGAAAGGCACGAACATACTCGACTTTACTGCGTGCAACTTTGAGGCATGTCGCCTTTCCTTTTCCAGTAAAAGAAGACGTTGAATCAGATCCTGAAAGGGGAATTGATAAAATATTAATGTTATATCTAAATAGTTGGATGTAAAAAAGCTCACAATTTGACCAGAGTGTGAGAGGCGATGAAAGTTGCAACCTATGTGCGCGTTTGAACGTCAACTCTCATTTATAAGAAATCTGGTCACAAACCTGTGAACCAATGAAATCCCAAAATAGCATCGCACCACGCCTCACCAAGTTGCTCGGAAATAGTATTCATGTCTAGGATCCTTCTTTTGTTCCCCGTTCCAGTATCAAAAGCAAGAGTAGCTGGAATTTTGGATGCACAATAAATGCACAACAGAAACACGTCTGTGTCAACACTTTTGATAACAATGTTTGAATGTGACTGTGCAGCGTGACTTGCATGTAATAACATTCTCGTATCTGCTTCCTCGTGATCGCAGAATAGCTCAAAAACTTCTTCACACACGACTTGTAAAGATGTAGCATAATAACAAATAAAATGACATTTGTTGCCATGGGTAACATACAGTTGGGATAGAAACATCATTTTTAAGGTTAAGCAATGCCAGAGCTGTCTCATATGATAAGGCCACAGAGTGTGATGCACAGTGACCGAACCCATTGAGAATTTCAGTTAGACCCAGTTATCTGACGAGTAGCCATTGTCAATGCCAGTGATTTAGGTGTTTGCTTTCTTCCTCCAGAACTAACAAAGATACAGTCTTGGATTATGGCAAGCACCTTTAAAGAAGAAAATTTTATTCAATGCGGCTTACATACATGTCAGAAACCTAGTGTAGGTCTACTGTTTTTCATTATGGGCATCTTACCTTTGCTTTATTCTTTCTGGATAGAGTAACATATGATGA